CCCTTCCTGCTCCCAGTCTTCTTATGCTTTCCTCCCCTCTTTATTTTCTAGGTCATATTCTGCTTATCTGATAAACCATTCTGCAAGGAAGGACAGTGGTTGATAAGGGAGCAATAATGGTGTATAATCCCTTCCAAGGGCATCTGTATTTAACAGGGGTCTCCCAGAGACATGCTCTTAGCCAAAGGCATGATGCTCTCATGGTGGAATTTCAGCCTGAATAGGCAGGGTAGTAGGAGAAGGGTGTTTATTTATCACCTGTTTATTCATTTGTTTGTTTATTCATTCATTCACTTATTCATTCAAATATCCAATTAATTAATCAATAAAGGAATTAACTGGGAGAGAGGGAAGAACTCACTAGGGTCCTTCGCATCATTCCTTCCTTCAAATATTAGCCTTTCTATAGTCAAGGTTTGCAAACCACTTGCAGGATGTGATCTCATTTGATCTTCACAAACCCCCGGGAAGTTGATGCTATAACTACCCCCATTTTAAAAATGGGGAAATTGAGGCATAGAGGGGTTAAGTGACTTGTCCAGGGTTGAAAGCATCTGAGACTGGATTTGAGCTCAGGCCTTTCTGACTCCAGCATTCTAACTTCCACACCACCTCGTTGCCTCAGATAAGTTAGATCCCCAGCCTTGCCAGGTAAGGGGGTAGGGTGCTGAGGATGCTGCTGTTTCTAATCTAATAATGATTACACCCATTTCCGTAGCAGTTTAAAGTTCACTAAGAATGTTCCTCACAACAACCCTGTGAAGTAGGCCACTGCAAATATTATTATTCCCATTTTACAGATGAGGGAACTGAGGCTCGGGTAAAGTGATTTGCCCAAGGTTACACAGCCAAGAAGTGTTGGTAGTGGGATTAGAAGCAGGTTCTCCTGGCTCTGAGTTCATCTATTTTGCTGCTATAGTGTCCTGTGTCCAAGCAGAGTGCTTGGAGATCCCTAGGACAGGGAGAAGAGTGGAGACTAAAGCCTTTCTGGGAAGATGGGAAGACATCCCTTGGATTCTGACCAGTACAAGATGGGCTTCCTTGTTGCAGGATACGCCTGGACTCTCCCCCTATGGTTGCTTCTCTGCAGAGAGTAAATTCTGGGCCAGGCATCTCTGAGCAGGCTGTTCCAGAGACAGGACAAACCATTGCCTCTCCCTTTTGCTGGGGGGTGGGGAGGATGGAGTGGTGAGGCCAGGAAAAGAAATTGGGGCTTTTACAGGGAATGGGGAGGCAAGTGCGAGATGACTTGGTGGATGAAATACAGCATGACTCATCCTCCAAGATAACACTGTTGAGCTTCTACCACAAGCTCAAGCTTGTTGGGTGAAGAAATGACTGTCCTGGGAGAAACTGAGGCTGAGACATGCCCTGGGGTCTGCCTTGGATCTGACCTTGAGCCTCTGATGCCCTCCACAGGACTCTCCTTATCAGTCCTTTGCTTGTAGTATTCAATCTCAGACAGCCACTGATTACACAGTGTGGTGGAAATCACCCTGAGATGACCCAGCTGCCCCAAATGTCTGCCCTGCTGGCCTCCCACGGTGTCTAAAATTCTACTAGTAGAGATTCATTCCCCTGAGTTTAGCATCACCCCTTCCAGGCTGCTTTTTAAAAACTCAAGCATCCTTGGGAAAGGAAAAGAAATGATTCAACAAGTTAAAGATGAGCTAAAACAACAACATGGTTGCAGTTTTCGATGGCATGAATACAGTCGCGCTGTCCAATGCGAGGGAGGCGATAGCCTGGCTATCTGGTCTGCCCTGGGAAGGCTGCATCTTGAGGATACTGTTCATTTCTGGCCACCACATTTCAGGGCAGACTTTGAGTAAACAGATGAACTTGCCCAAGATAATGTTCAAGTGTGCCACATGAGAATCATTTCAAGTAACCAGAGAAGGGAAGATGCAAGGGAGACATGAGAGCGGTATTCAAGTAACTGTTGGGCCATCTGTTGTGAGGAAGAGGGTCAGACCCGTATTGTGTGAAGTCGCCGAGATGTCGATTTTGGGCTCAGTGTTGGGCACAACTTCCTAATGATCTAATGCTGTCCAAGAATGGAATAGGCTGCTTCTAGAGGGGTGGGGTCCTCTTTCACTGGGGGCTCTTTGAGCAGAGGCTAGATAACCACTTTTTATAGCCAATGGGGTGGGAGTGGAGATTCCTGATGACCTCATTTAGAATTGGAAGGGGCTTTAGAAATCTCCTAGTCCAATCCCCTCATAAAAAAAAATTAGAAATTTTTTAAATAAAAAAAATTTCAGTTTACAAGCATTTATTTTCTCTCTCATGTGGAGTCTGTCACCTCTCTGTCAGGAGGTAAAACCTATTCATTTTACAGATGAGGAAACTACAGAATGCCCAGAGTTGGGCAGTGACTTGCCCAAAGTCACACATCCATTTAGTAAGTGGCAGATCTGGAGGTGCTTTGACCCTGAATGCATGGCTTCTCTCTCCTCCTCTCCTCACAGACTTGATGCATAATCCCTATAGTAAGCTCTTTATAAACTCTGTCTGTGTCTCTCTTTCTGCCTCTCTCTCTCTGTATCTTTCTGTCTCTCTCTGTCTTTGTGTCTCTGTCTCTGTCTGTCTCTTGTCTGCCTGTCTCTCCCCCCCCCCCCACCTTTTTTCTCTGAGATTCTAGAATGAGTTGTTTCTGGACTGGGGGTGCTGGAGGGGTGCTGGAGAGACAAGCAGGCTGCCCCCTTTCCCCTCCCAATCCCTGCGCTTGCTCTCAGGCCCCCTTCCAGGGTTCGCTCAGATCTAGTGCATTCTGTAGGGAAAGTGCTCTTCACTGCGGTGCCTCTCCCCAGCCCTCACACTGTTGTTGAGGTGGCGCATTGAAAGTGGGTCTCCATCCAAGCCAGGCTGCACCAAATGAGGCCTGCTTTACCTGGGCCCTCCTATGTCACTGGAACCGTCAACAGGAGGAGGCGGAGAGTGATGGCTCCTGGGGAGCGTGCCAGCAACATCCAGGCTGCCTGCCTCCCCAGCAGAAGGTGCCGAGGCTCGGCCCCCTCCTCCCTCCCACCCCTCTCTCCCTGGAGGAGAGATGCCTGCACTGTCAGAATCCTGCATCTGCTCTGGCTCCTGGACTTGGGAGATGGGCTCCTGACAGGCCCCACTTGGCTTTTCTCCTATGTGCTTTTGCCAGGCTCAGGGCCTGCAGATCCAGGGACTCAGCATGCATAGTTCCCAGAGGAGGGATGGCTTAGGGTGAGGAACTACCTGCCTGAAAACTGGGGAGCTTCCCCCAGAGTTCAATCCGGGATCACTGAAGCCAAACAAATTTTTTTTGGACTTATGATTTTATAGGCGTATGAAGTATCCAGTGAGGAAGTCCTTATGCCAGTGTATATCTGCACCTCTGCCACCATGTTTGACCTTAAGATAATAGGATATTGGGGCAACTAGGTTGCAAAGTGGATAGAGCAGAGTCAGGAGGAACTGAGTTCAAATCAGGCCTCAGACACTTGACACTAGCTGTGTGACCCTAGGCAAGTCACTTAACCCCAATTGTCTCACCAAAAAAAAAAAAAGATTATAGGATTTTTTTTTTTTAACTAGAAGGGACATTAGAGCTATCCCCTTCATTTTACAGATGAGAAAAATGAGGCACAGAGAGTGATTGACAGTTGCTTGGGGAACCTTGAGAATAATACTAATAATAGTTAACATTTATGTCTTATATATACATTATCTCATTTAGTCACAAAACTGTGAGGTAGGTGTTATATTTATCCCCATTTCTATAGATGAGCAAATTGATGCTAAGGGACTCATTCAGGTTAGCAGGCACCTGAGTTAGTATTTGAACTCAGGTTTTCCTAACTCCAGTCAAATGACTTGCCAAGGGTCACACAGCCATTATATGTCAGAGGCAGTACTTGAACCCAGATCTTCTTAACTATGAGACCAGCTCTCCATTTCAGGTAGACATAAGGATTTTGATCTCCTGGACAGCCAACCTTTCTCCAACCTTGGCAGATCCCCAGCCCTTTGGCTCCAACCTGCCTTGCAGGCCAGCTGCTCTGGGAGCCAGCCCTTTCCCAGCCCGATTTGGGCCTCTGCTGCTTACTCAGACCAGCCCCACCAAGCCAAGCTCCCTGGGCCCTTCTCTGCCAGAACCAGGAAGCTTTGCCTTGGAGGGGGAGGAGGCCCCTGGGGGCTAAGGGTTGGGATTGCTACATATGGGGAGAATGGTGGTCAGGGGACTAACAGGGATGGTGTGTGGAGCCATAGGAGAGGAGGTGCTGATTGGTAGCCCGGTGACCCAGTGGATAGAATGCCATCCTGGAGTCAGGAAGACACCCACTGTAATCCTCCCTTGGACACTTGTGACCCTGGGCACATCCCATGATTCTTCTCAGCCTCAGTTTCCTTATCTATCAAATGAGGATAATAGTATCACCTGACAGGGTTGTTGTAAGGATCATAGAAGATACCATATGTAAGACTCTTTGCAAACCCTGAAGCACTATATATACATGATGTAAAAGCTGTTGCTGTTGTTGTTATCATCGTTATCATTATCACCCCCATTTCTGCTAGATGTTGGGAGGCAAACTCAACCCTGAGGAAAATTTTGTCCATTTAATTCAACACATACTTATTAGATGCCTGGTAGGGCCCTTCCAGATCATGTGTACAAGGCAACAGAGATAAAGAACAGGACAGTCTCTGTTCTCAGGGAGCTCACATCCTCTGGCTTGTGGGGGCTTCTAGACCAGAGGGCCTGCAGCTGCCAGTGATCTCCTAGGCTGGCTGTTGGTAGTGAGGAATGGGGGTTTGGCTTCCTGGCTTTGGGCAAGGTTGCAGTTTATAGGTTGTTGGAACATGTGTGAGGTGGTGGTGGTTATGGTGATGGTTATGGTGATGGTGATGGGTGTGTGTGTGTGTGTGTGTGTGTGTGTGTGTGTGTGTGTGTTGGGGATGAGGAGTTCGACAGGGATATTCAAAGTCTCCTGAGGCCCCTAGTTTCACTTCTTCTTCTTTCTCAGTCCAGGGTAGCCTGTAGAGGTGTGGATCCTGGCCTAGCCCGAGCCTTGCCTGGCCCAGAAGATGCTGTGGCCATCTGTGCTGGGCCCAGGAATTGGAGTCTTGCTGCTACTTGGCATGACAGGTGAGGCCAATGGCATGACAGGTGAGGGCGAGGGGGGAAAGAGAATCCTGGACCTTTGGGAGGATGGGGTGAGAATGAAAGATTGTGAGTTCCTGTTGGACAGGGGGCTATGGCTTCTCTCCCCTTTTATTGCCTACAGCACTGAACAGGAAGCCTTACACGTAGCAGGTGCTTAGTAAAATGTTAGCCTTGCACAGTGGTGACCTTGGACAGGTCAGGAAGACCTTGGTTCCAATCCTCCCATGCTTATTAGGTGCATGACCCTGGGTAAATCACTTAACTTCTCTTACCTGTATGATGGGGATAATTATATGCTCGTAACCACCTACTGGGATTTTCCTAAGAATTAAACAAGGTAATATATGTAAAGGGTTTTGCAAATTTCAAAGTATTCTCTATGTCTTAGTTGTGCTATGTAAATATCTTATGATCATTAAAAAGCAGTTGGAAAAATGGATAGTGAGCTGTCCTTGAGGCCAGGAAGACTTGGGTTTAAGGCTGGTTTCTGACCCATGCTGGCTCACTGGGGGCAAGCCATTTCTCTCCCGGGGCTCTGGGCATCCCTGAGTACAAGGTGCCGAGGGAGAAGGTGTTTCCTCCCCGGAAGTTCCTGTACCAGTAACATCATAGGCCGCAGTACTAGCATTAGCTTCATAGGATGGATTGCCCTGAATTGAGGGAGAAACAACAGATTTGTATCACAGAGCTCCCCATCCAGTCCCTTAACCAGCTCTGAGTGGTTCACTGCAGACCTGTAGTCTTGTCTAAGCTTTTAGTGTCCCCTGGTGGTGGAAGAGGGAATGAGATGGTCTTGCAGCTTTCCCAGGGCCCCCTCCTCCTTCCCACACTCTCTCCCTGGAGGAGAGATGTCTACACTGTCAGAATACTACATCTGCTCTGGCTCCTGGACTTGGGAGATGGGCTCCTGGCAGGCCCCTCTTGGCTTTTCTCCCGTATGCTTTTGCCAGGCTCAGGGCTTGGGGATTCAGGGACTCAGGATATGTAGTTCCCAGGAGTTCAGGATATGTAGTTCCCAGGAGTCTGATTCCACATGGGTGCCCCTGAAGAATGTTTGTTAAATGTTTCTCTATGTTGGGAATGGGGAGAGACCCTTCCCCTCTTCAGGTGCCTGAAGAACAGAGGATGGGGGACACTGGGAAAACCTTGAGGTTGCCCACACTTCTTTCCCTATCTCCTGTTTCCCCACCCCCTCCAGCCCCAGGCAGTGGGACTCATTCTCTATTTGGGGCACAATGGAAAGACCACTGGAGTCTCGGAAGACCCGAGTTCAAATTCTACTTTTTTGGCTTACCACTGGGTGACTTTGGACAAGCCATCTCCCCACTCTGGGCCTGAGTTTCCCCTTCTATAAAGTGAGGTTGGATTTGAGGCCCTTCCAGCTCTGAAGAAGAAAGCTGGGTAGAGCCCTTCGGTGGGACAAGGGAGTAGTGGGGGCCATATCCTCTGGACCCCATCATCTCTGCCTCCTTCCTAGACAAGCCCCAAATCACAGCCAAATTGTTTGGTGAGCCTAAGCCCGAGAGGGCCAATTCTGGACTCTGGGTTCTGGGGACCAGGCCCTGGGCCGATATGTTTCTGTCTCAGACATAGGTAAGGAGAGGTGAGTGTTGGAGATAAGATCATAGATTTAAAACTGGAAAGGACTTTGGAAGTCACGTAGCCCAACCCCTTCATCTTACAGTCAAAGAGGCAACGTGATTTACAAAAACACATCACTAATAACTGTTAGGCAGCCTGAACCTCAGTCCTCTGTCTCCAAATCCCTTGCTTTTTCTATCACTTTCTACTGCCTGTTAGGAAATTCAAAGGAGTTTGTCTGCTTTTAGAACAGAATTAAAAGGGCAGAGGGGGGCAGGAAGTGGGCAGCAGGGTAAGGAATCAGGAGGGAAGGGCCAGCATGGGGCAGAGACCATGCACTGGTCCTTGCTCAGGCTCAGATGCCAGAGGGGTCCTGGGAAGGGTCTCCAGGAAGAGCTCAAGGCTTGGTAGCCAGCCCTCTTGTTTCCCCCCCTGCCCTCCAGGTTCAGTGGAGATAGTGGTCCCCGATGACCCCGTGGTGGCCCTAGTGGGCTTGGATGCCACCTTGCCTTGCTCCTTCCTGCCTGGCCCCAACTTCACCCTGGCCCAGCTCAGCCTCATCTGGCAGCTGACGGACACCAAGCGGCTGGTGCATAGCTTCAGTCAGGGCCAGGACCAGCTGGCTGACCAGGGCAGTGCCTACACCAACCGGACCGCCCTCTTCTACGACCAGCTGGCCCAAGGCAACGTCTCCCTCCTGCTCCGCCGGGTGCACATCGCTGACGAGGGCAGCTTCACCTGCTTTGTGCAAATCCAACATTACAGCAGCGCTGCTGTCAGCCTGCAGGTGGCTGGTGAGACCAGGGGAAACACAGTAGGGAGGTGGGCTCCATCCTCACAGTCTCTAAATAGGGCTTCTTAATTCAGAGTCTGTGAAATTTTAAAAAGTATTTTGATAACTATTTCAATATGATTGGTTTCCTCTGTAAGCCTTTGTGTTTTGTTGTATGCATTTAAAAAACATTATTCTGAGGAGTTGGTGGTGGTGGGGGGGGGCTTCAGTAGATTGCAAAAGGACTGCAGGACAAAATTGTTTAGAATTCTTACTTTAAAGTTTCTCCTCCCGATCTGCGCTATCCTTACCCTAGGCTATCCCAGCCTCCTGGCTGTGTATCCGCAGGACCCTTCCCTGATCCCTAATCCATGCCCTCTGCCCTCCCCCAGCGTCCTACTCCAAGCCCAGCATGACTCTGGAGCCCAGCAAGGACCTGAAGCCAGGAGACACAGTAACCATCACCTGTTCCAGCTACGGTGGCTACCCAGAGGCTGAGGTGATCTGGCGGGATGGTCAGGGGGGCGTCCTGGCTGGCAACGTGACGACCTCCCATCTGGCTAACTCAGAGGGGCTTTTTGATGTGCTCAGCGTGCTGAGGGTCACGCTGGGGGCCAATGGCACTTACAGCTGCCTGGTGAGGAACACGGTGTTACAGGAAGAGGCCTCTGGCTTTGTCATCATCACAGGTCAGTGGGCAGGCAGGGCATGACCCGGGGCAGGAGGGGCAGCGCTAGGGTTGGGGCAGGTTCAATCTCCTCTGCCCCTTTGGACCAGACATCTCTAATTTTGACTCTCTAGGGCGGGGGGGGGGGGCAGCCATTTCGAAACAACCCTTCAGTCTAGTAGAGTGGACGGAGGGCCAGCCTTGGGATCAGGAAGCATGGAGTTTGGATCCTGCCTCAGGCACTTAGCTGTGTGACCCTGGCTAATAACTCTCGGCCTCAGTGTCCTTATCTATCAAATGAGGAAGTTAGACGTGGTGGCTCCTCACATCCCTTTCAGTTCAAAATCTATGACACTGAAAAAATTTTTTAAAAATTTTAAATTAAAAAAATTGTACATTTAAAAAAAAATAAAATCTTATTATTTGTGTATATATACCCAGTGACTTGAACAAAGGAAGTGGGATAATGGCAACCACGCCTGCCCAGATGGAGGGCTGTGAGGAAGGCTTTAATGAGTAGATAAGATTGTCTGTAATGATAGGGCCGGGGTTCGGGCCAGACCCTGTGATTTTATTGGTAGGGGGAATTCTCTGGTGAGGAAATTCCCTTTACCAATGTAGGCCACCCATCCTCTCTGAACTTACAGTCTTCTTAGAGACTAGACAGCTGTCCCCCAAATCACACAGCTAGAATATGCAGAGGTGGCCCTTGAGCTCAGAACTTCTGGGCTTCAAGATCAACCCTCTATCCATTAAACTAAACGAATCCCAGCAACTTCTAGGGTTCCTCCTCTGATGCTTCAACATGGTGTGGAGGTGACCCTCTCTAAGGTCATGCCAATGGAGCCCAAGTCCCATTTGGGCCTAACCAGCTGGATGGTCTTTGAGTCTGGCCCCGTGATGGAAGTTGTGCCTGTCAAGTTTGGAGATGCTGAAGGGTCATGGGAAATTCTGGCTATTGCTACTGTCAAGGACCATCTGCTAAGACTACTGAGACACTGTGATGTGTGGTGGTGGAGGAAGTATCTGCCCCAGTGAAAGCCTAGATCCTTTAAGCACTGACCAAGTCCCCTCTGAATTTCCAGCTTCTATTTGTATAACGCTCTTTCCTTCATCTCATTTATAAATAGAACATGAAGTCCCTATGGAAATGGGTGCTTATAAAGTACTTGAAAACAATTTGATCTCTAGAGTAGGTTAAACACTCCCCTGCCCAGCCCCACCCCCAAACAAATCTCAATTGCATTGTTTATTGGCTTAGCAAACCCTTTCTTCTCAAAGAGAAAAAAGGTGAATTTCAGCCTACTTTTCACATTAGAATTATCACAAACTTCACGCCAGCTGGTGTCTAACCCTGCATTTGTTTCCTGTTACCCCACTGTGATGAAATGTCACCCTTTTCTGTTATCACTTAAATACTTTTATAAGATTTTAAAAATTGATATCTTTTGTTTTTATACTGGGCTCATTTCCAAATATATTCTTCTACCTCTTCTCCAGATGCACAGTGAGCCATCTCTTGTTAAAACAAAGGAGAGAGAGAGACAGAGAGACAAAAGAGAAAGAAAAAAGGCAGTTTGGCAAAACCAACATAAGCACATAAATTGAGTCTGACCGTATTGCCATATTCCACACCCGTGGTCCCACACCTCTACAAAGAAGGGAGGGGATCTTTGCTGCCATTTCTTTTGTCAACACCCTCCTTGAGGGTTTAAGGTGCTTTCTTGGGGCCACAACCGTGGGACTGGACCTCCTTTTCTCCCATCCCCCTCCTCAAGTGCAGCAGTAAAAGCCCTACCCGCTCAGGATGGGCGTCAGGAGGGTGACAGCTGCTTCTTTTAGGCCTCCCGAGCCAGGCTCTCTCTGGGACACTCTCCTCGAACCAGACCAAGTCCAGTCCCTTCTGGCTCAGGAGGCACATGTCCCTCCTAGATCCTTAAGCTGGGGCACCTGTGTGTGGTCCCCATTTCCTCTCAGGTCCCTTTCTCCTCCAGTTCCAAGGAGTCTAGATTTTCCTTTGAGTTTTCTCCCCTCCTCCCACCAGCCAAGGCCAAAGCATGCCTTTAGCTTCTCTGGCCCCCGAGAGAGGGAGGTCTGTCTGTCCAGTGCTTGGATTCCTGGCGGACTGAGCTTGGCTTAGCCCGTCTCAGACTCCAGGTCTCTGTTGGTCTCTACTCTCTCTACTTCTGCAGAAGTCTTACAATGCTCTGATTTATTGTTGTCCTCTCCTTTTCCTTGCTGCCTTCTTCTCTCCTCCATCTCGAGTGACTGGATCCTCCTTGGCCCTTTGTCTCTTCTTCAGCTTGGACTAAATGCCTTTTCTACTCACCTGTTCTGTGGTTCTTTCATGTGTCTACCTTCCTCTCTGGGGATGTTCTGGGTTCATTGCTCAGATGGAATATTGTTTACTTTCTGGAAGGGGACAGGCTCTGGGAAGAGGGGTGGTTTGTGACCCTCTTTTGCCAGTCATTCCTTCCACTTGCTACCGGCCTGCCTCATAATGCCAGCTTCAGCTAGTGCCCTGGGCTCTGCCGTCTGGGATGCCCTTTACCTTTGGCTCTGCCCACTTCATTAACAGAGCCATTGAAGGTTCTTTGGTTCTTTTTAGCTCAGTGGATCTCCCATCTGGGGTGCTTTCTGTACTCTCTGCAGGGCCATGCTTGGTTCTGAGGGGTGGGAAGAGGCCGTGGTAGGGATTGGACTTGGCTGTGAATTCTCTGAAGACTTACCTGTCCCAGAAGGAGCTTCTTCTGGGCTCTGGTCAGCTCCCCTCGCTCCCCTCAGGGAGGTGGGCGCTCTCTGCTCTTAAAGAGCCGCTGTAGGTGGCTGGGAGGGCCGGCTGCCTGACAGGCTCTCTCTTCTCTGCCTCATCCACCGCACAGGCCAGGTGATGACGTTCCCACCGGAGGCTCTTTGGGTGACTGTGGGGCTTTCTATCTGCCTCCTGGGACTGCTGGTGGCCCTCGCCTATGTGTGCCGGAAGAAAATAAAGCAGAGCTGTGAGGAAGAGAATGCTGGTGAGAGTTTAGGGGTGAAGAAAAGGGGGTGTGTGACTGATGGATGATAGGAATGAGTGTGAGCGTGCCTGAGTGTGGGTGTGAGTGAGCAGAATATGAGTGTGTGGGTGTGCCAGCGTGCCTGAGCGTGAGTGTGTGTTTGAGTGTGCAAGTGTGTGATCATGCCTGAGTGTGAGTGAGTGGGTGTGTGTGTCTGAGTGTGCAAGTGTGAGAGCATGCCTCTGGGTGAGTGTGAATGAGTGGGCATATGTGTCTGAGAGAGAAAGTGGGACCCTGGGGGTTCAGGATGATTCGCAGGTTGGGAGAGAGGAGGGACGTCACAATGCTCGAGGGCCGGCCTTAGCAGCAGCAAGAACGGCCTTGAGGCCTGCAGCTGGGTGAATTCTGGGCAAGCTTCTCAGATTCTGTGAGCCACCATTTCCTGGTCTGTAAATGAGGCCTGTCTAGGATTAGAAGAGATAGCCCCCACGGTCCCTTCTGTTTCTCAGTGCTGTGTAAAATCCTCAGATCCAAAGTCCGTGAGCATTTATCCATCTCCTACTACGTAGAAGTTGAGAAGTATTAGCAAGGGTCAGTCCTACAGTAAAAAAAAACAAAAAACACCTGGGTTCAAGTCCTTCTGACCCATTGACTGTGGGATCCTCAGCAGGTGACAACTTCTCTGTGGCCCAGACGTGACTTTAAGACTTTAAGTTACAGATGAGTCACCGTCTTCATCAGTGGAGGGAGTTGACAGGCCTGGAATCCCCCACATGGAGGATGTCACAGGTTTAGATCAAGCATGGTGGGGCAGGTGTGAGAAAACAGAGCGAAGCTTGGGGCTCTTGGGAGCACAATGCTTTCCCGCCTCAGAGAGTCAGGGCAGCCAAAGCAGGGGCAAAGGTCAGGTCATAAGAATGATTCACTTTGCATGACTCCCTATAGGTACCTAGGAGTAGCACTGCCCTTCATCTTTAGCCCCTGTTACATTTGATTTAATTTAACTTAAATTGGAACAGCCACCATCTTGGATGATATAGGCAGAATCCGGAAGGACCTCAGGGTGCTGAAACATTGGCTAAAACCCAACAAGATTAATTCCAACATGAATTAAAGCACTAAACTCTCCTGCACTTAGGTTCAAAGAATCAGTTGTCCAAATACGCAAAATGGGAAAGGCACAGCGTGGCCACAGTCTGCGTGAAAGAGATCTGGCAGGATTAACTGACGGCAGGCTCAATATGAGACACTAATAGTAAGCCTTTGGTGCTTCCTGAAGACAAGGACTGTTTCTTGCTTGTCTTTTCATCCCTAGCACTCAATGCTATGCCTGATGCATAGTAGTCACCTAATAAGGCAGTTAGATGGTAGAGTAGATAGAGTGATTGACTTGGAAACAGGAAGACCTGAGTTCTAATCCTGCCTCACACTAGCTGTATGACCCTTGCGAGTCACTTAAGTTGGCCTCAGTTTTTCGCATCTGCCAAATGAGAATAATAGCACCTCTACCTTACAGAGTTGTTACCAGGATCAAATGAAATTTTGTGTGTGTGTGTGTGTGTGTGTGTGTGTGTGTATGTATGTATATCACTTTGTAAAACTTAAAAAAACACGGTTATCATAATAAATGCTTGTTGATTGATTAAATGAGAGGACATAAGATGAAATTTCTCGAACCCTTCCTGGTTCTCTGCGTTGTCTACAAGTATCCAGCCTTGGCTGCAGCCTCTGATTTAATCCCTGTATAGCTACTTTTTTCTCTCTGCCTCTATGGAAAGCATCTTCTGCAGTGTTTTTCAGTGTTGACTTTTCAGTCTTAGCTTCCCGGAGACTCCACAAGTGAGTGTAGCTATGTGCTACTGCACATCAGAGATAGCGGTGGTGGGGTGGGAGGGCGTGTTAGTCCTGCTGCACTTTGCCCTGTTCAGACAAAAGTCTGGAATGTCACGTAGAATTATGGGGGCCACATTTAGGAAGGATGTTGGCCAGCTGGAGCACCTGCAGGCAGCAGGGATGAGGGAGGGCAGTGAGGGCACCTGAAACCATGTCAGATGAGAATTAGTCAAAGGAAAGAGAGATGTTTGATCTGTTGAGGGGTGGACTGGGAGATGGGGTAATGGTCTTCCAATATCTGCAGGCTTGTCCTGTGGAAGAAGCATTAGGCCCCAGAGGGCAGATCTAGGACCCACCAAAGCAGTCATTTGGTGGCTGACTGCGCATGTGAAATTCTGCCCCCTCCTCTCTGCTGTAGATGGAGGTGAGTTTTCTGACCAGTTCTCTGGGGCCTTTCCTGGTTTGGCACTCGCTCAAGAGTTCCGCTTCCTTTTGATGAAATTTCACTTGCCCTTTTTGCAGTCATGAATGTTGTTCTTTTGGTTCTACTTTATTAAATTCAGCATCAGCAGATATGCATCTTCCCGTGTTTCTCTGAATTCTTCATGTATGTCATAATTTTATCGCATGACATTCACACACCAGAATTTGTTCAGATGCTCCCTAGGACATAGACTTTGTTTGCTTCTTCTTTTTTTTTTGCTTCTGTGTATATTTTGGTATATATACCTACATACATACATATATATACATGCATATACATGTATATATATGTGTGTGTATATAGATAGATAGATAGATAGATAGATCAGACCTTTGTTTATACCTTTGACCTTCTTGAGGTCTGTGCCCAACAGTGAGAACAAAAGAGCCTCCTTCTGACTTCAGATTAAGCAGACCCGGGCCAAGGAGGGTGTGACTGAGTCTGGATAGGGCAAAGCCCAGCCTTGATGAAAGCAGTGCCACAGTGAGTCCCGAGGGGTTCAGTGTATGGCTCAGAGCCAATCACACTTTGTGTCTCACTCCCATTCCCTTCACGTTTGTCTACTTATAGTTATAGTCATAATGAATGTATTTGATGGAAGAACCTTGAAGGAGAGAAAGAGTCCCAGAGGGGAAGCCTTTGGGCAGATGTACACATTGGGGCTGGGGTGGGGAGAGAGGCGATGGAAGCATGGGGAGACCATCACCTTCACCTGGGTTGTCAGTGGGTGACAGTGGGAAGTAATTCATGGGTTCTCTGCAGCCTCATCAGCCATAGGTGGTTTTTCAAACCAGCTGGTGGGATGGACCATCATCTGCTAATCAGCCAATCAATTAATCACTCAGCAGGCATTTATTAAACACTTACCACGTGTCAGACACTATGTTAAATTCTGGGATACAAAGAAAGTCAAAAACAGCCCTTGCCCTCCAGGAGTTTGCATTCTAATGGGAGAGACGACATGTATATAAATAGGTGTGCAGAACGTTCATATAGGGCAGATGAAGAGTAACCTTAGAAGGGAAGGTTCTGGGAGATGGGAGCCGGAGAGAGACTGGGAAATGCTGGAGTGTTTGAGCTGAGTCTGCAAAGGATCCTAAGAGGCAGAGGTGAGGTGGGTGGGAGAATAATTCAGGCGTTGGGGACAGCCAGTGCAAAGGTATGGAGGTGGGAGATATCTTTCAGAATTACTGTCCAGGACCAGCATCGGAGATTTTTTTTTCTAATGCCCTCTGGTGCCTGGTTATGGCCTGGTTTACAGCTCACCTGTCAGACCAGGGCCCCTGAGGGTGAGGAATAGGCTTTCCCCAGTAGAATAGGGGAGAAAGGATATCTATATCTATACCTATACCCATACTTATACACACACACATACACATGTATGTATGTGCATGCATATATGTACATGTGTGTATATATTTTTCCTCACTCAAGAAATTTTATTTTTCCCTTAATAAATCCACCATTTATTTATTTATTTTAAACACTCATTTAAAAAATTTTTTTGAGTTCTGAATTCTCTTCCTCCTTCCAGTCCCTCCCCAGCCCATTGAGAAGGCAAGCAATATAATATCAATTATACATGTGAAATCATGCAAAACAATGAATCATGGATGAATAAATGAAGGCTGGGTGGATGGATGAGTGGAAAAGTGAATTAATGGAGAGAAAGGGGAGAGAAAAGAAAGAGAAAAGAGTGGGTAGGCAGGCTGGGTATATGGACAGTTGAATGCATGGGTGGGTGAATGATTGCATAAATAAAACTTGAATGAATGGATGAATTAATGAAAGAGTGGGCAGACGGATGACTGTGGGACTCTGAACACTGGTCACAAGGGATAGAATCCTTCAAAACTCCAGTCTTTGCCTTCATAGCTGACTTTCAGACAATAACTTGACCCCCTTGACCCTTCTTCCTTGCTCTCCTACCCCCGTGGTGGAGAAGTTCAGTGCTCAGAGAGGGGCTGAGGATGAGAAAGATTTCTGACCATTTTTGTTTTTCAGGGGCTGAGGACCAGGATGGAGATGGAGAAGGATCCAAGACAGGTAGGTCTAATCTAGATACTGTTCTTCCTGGGAGATTCAGAGGGGAGAAACAACATACGAGACTAGTATTGAGTGAAAGGACAGTTTCCAGTGTTGGCTTGAGGTAAAACCCCAGTGTTCAGTGGGAGTCTAACTGACCAAAATGCCCACTTTTGCCCCTCACCCCGGTAAGATGTGTCTCACGGTCTGATAAGCAGTGAATCTCAGACATTGTCATGTCTGCTAGACTATGAGATACACCTATGCTTTGGGGTGGCAAATTTGAGTTTAATATAATCAAACTAAAAATAAATCCAAGCACTCAATACTAATGGATTTCCCTTTCACCTCTAATCTTTGAGCCACTGATTTGGATCTAATTGGAGGCACAGTTGAGGGGCTCTGAGCCCCCCCAAGTCAGGAAGACTTGAGTTCTAATCCAGCCCCCAACACTTATTAGCTGTAGGACCCTGTCAGCTGTAATTTCCTCAACTGTAAAATGACAGGTTGGATAGAATGAGCCTCCCAGTTCTAAAATTCTACAAACACACGATGTAGCATCCAACCTAGGAATCGGGAAACCTGGCTTTTTGTCCTGTCTCTTCTGTGAGTTTCCTGAATGACCTTGGGTAGGTCACTTGACATCTATGTCCCAGTTTTCCCATTGTTTAAAATGGGCATAATGATACCTCTCATGCCTGCCTCCCAGGGCTATCTTCAGGATAAAGCGAGACCTCATTAAAAGGAACAAAATTTGTAGAATGAAATGAAGAATAGTAATGATGAGGATAATTCCCTGACATTTATATGATGTTTTCAAGTCTGTAAATCACAGTACTTACATCCTTTCATTTGATCCCCACTGCATCCCTGGGGGCAGGGAGTCGTCAGCACTATGGGGATTATTCTCAACCCTTTTTGCAGGGAGGTTAGCTAACGGTGACAGAGATGGGCTGTAACTTGTGCCGTCCCGAATCCAAGAACTGCTTCTCTTAGGTTTTATATGAGCCGGGTTTAGAAGGATTAATGGGGTACAAATTTATTTTAGGGGAGCCGAGGGAAAGGCACAGAGAGGTTAAAATAGAGCTGGATGGGGCTAATCTGTGGACTGTGGGCCTCTTACCTGACGTTATGAGATCCCTGAATCCCTCCTAGGGAAAAGGCAAATTTTTCAGCCTGGAATCTAAAACCCTCCTCAGTTTGGCTCCAGCCAGGCTTTCTGGACTTATTACCACTGCCCACCATCCTGAGCTCTGCATTTCATCCCTGTTCCCCAGACCACCTGCCGTCTCTGGCCTTTGTGCATTTGCACAAACCGTCCACCGTGCCTGCCATTCCCTCCTCTCAGGAGAGGCCATGCTGTGTAATGAATCAAGGGCTGGACTTAAAGACAGGAAAACCTGGGTTTACATACTGCCATAAGCACTTGCTGTATAAATTACCTAACTTCTATGTGCCTCAGTTTCCTCATCTGTAAAGTGAAGGGTCTGTCTCCATGGCCTCGAAGGTCCCTCCCAGCTCTGACTCTATGGGCTCAGGATCCTTATCTTTCTTCAAGGCTCATCTCAGGTGTTGACTTCCAGGGGAAGTGTGGTCCAGTGGAAAGAACGCTGGCTTTGCAGACAGAGAACCCAGCTTCAGATCCCACCCCTTGGTTGTATGACCTTGGCCAAGTCCCTTTACCTCCTTGGACCTAAATGTCCTCATTTGTAAAATAAAGAGGCTTGGACTGGATGGTCTGTCAGTCCTCTACATCTCCCATCCCTCCAGTTGGCGGTCTCACTCCAATTTACCTTATGTTTATTTTTCTGAGTTCATGTTACATTTGCACAGTAGGATGTCAGCTCCTTGAGGACAAGACAGACCTGTCTTGTTTTTGTCTATCCCTAGTAATGAAAGCTATCATTTATATAGCACCTGCTATGTGCCAGGCACTATGATAAGCACCTTACAGTTATCATCTCATTGGATCCTCACAACAACCCTAGGAGATAGTAGGTGCTATTATAACCCCCCATTTTCCTGATGAAGAAACTGAGGCAGAGATGTCAATTGACTTGCCCAGAGTCACACAGTTAAGGAATGTCTGAGGCCAGATTTGAACTCAGCTCTTCCTGACTCCAGGGCCAGTGCTCTGTCCACCGCACCATCTAGCACATAATGCACAGCCTGGGGCCTATGGTCAGGGACTGGACCTGTGATTTTGGTATAGGGAACTTGCAGGTGAGAAAACCCCCCTGCTAATGCAAGGTGGCCCCTTCTCTGCAGCTCAGAGTCTTTGAGAATTGCCTAGCTCACCCAGAGGTTCCATTACATGGCCAGAGTGTGAAAAAGGTACTACTTGAACCCAGATCTTCCTGGCTCCAAGGCCAGCTCTTCATTCACTATGCCATGCCTTGGGACACAGTAGGTGCTTTATTGTTGAATTGCATTGAATGGATGCAGAAATCCTTTAGAGAAAACAAAGGCAGAGATGGGTCACCCGTGCTCCTTAGCTCCTTCCTTGAAGGCCCTGCCTGCACACCTTAGCTTCCCAGGTATCTCCTAGGAGGAGCCAGCAGTGATCTTGCCCCATCTCCTTCAAGAGGACTGAAAGGCTCAGTGTCCCAGGCTTGTATTTCTTGACTTATTTGGGGCCAGGGAACAGCCGCAGCCCCTGGCTGGTTAATGTTCCCTCCTGCACCATTGCGAAGACGGGATGGTAGAAGATTGATTTCCCAGGACTGCCGCAAATGAGACCCATTAATTTTCTCAGGCCCTTAGCACCAGGGTGTGGCGGCTGCAGAGACAGCCCCATTCACGGGGGAGTAGTCCTCATTTTTCATGTTGCTCAGGCAGATGTCGTGGGAGGCTCAGAAGGGCGGGAGAGAGACGGGATGCTCAAAGCAAAGGATGTTTGCCCAGAGAGAAGGGATTGAGGCAAACGCAGCTCATCTCACGGAGCTAGCCAGTTCTCAGTCATCCGTGGGCCCGAGGTTTGGAGGGAGAGATTAGATCACTGAAATCCATAGGTGACTCTGGACTCATTCATTTCACTCATGCTGTATCCGAACAGCGCTGTGTACCTTCCACACCCCAGAAGGTACGTCTTTGTGAGACAGGGAGGACAGGGGTTATTATCCTGATCCTTTGGATGGTGAGACAGCCCCAGGGCAGCTGAGTGCTACGTCCAAAGAAAGATATGCAGGCAGTTAGAGACAGAAGTAAGATGGAACCCTGTCCCCTGGCTGTCTTCAGAAGACCCGGGTTCAAATCTCAGATTGGCCACTAACTTACTTGTTTTACCTTTACCTCTCTGGGCCTCAGTTTTCTTGCCTATAAAATGAGGGGTTTGGACTATATGACCTCTAAAGTCTTTGATTCTCAACCAAGAGGTCTGCCAACTATTCCTAGGTGCTTGTGTCTTCTCCCAGCCCCTCTGCTTTCCCCTCTCCCTATCTCCACCTACAACAGGCCCCTTTAATCCCTTTCTACCTTTCTTTTCAAACCTTCTCCATGTCCCTTTCCTGAACCTCAGTTTCCCCACCTGTAAGCAGTGTGATATTGGAGAGGCAGAATGTTCCTGTGGATAGAACACTGGGCCTAGAGTCAGGAGACCTAGTTTTGAATCAAGATTCTTAAAATTATCAGCTATATAGCCAAGGGAAAATCAGTAAGTCTCTCTGAGCCTCAGTTTCCTCATCTGTAAAATAGGGATAAAAACACTTCCACTACAAACCTTACAAGGTAGATGTGAAGAAAGGCCCCTGGGAACCCTAAAATGTTATAGAAATATGATTTGTTATTAATAAAATGAGGACATTGGGCTAGATAATCTCTGAGGGCTTTTCCTGCTCTGACTTTCTGTTTTATGATTCTCTTTTGCAGCTCTGCAGCCTCTGAAACATGTGGACAGTACAGAAGGTAAAGTTGCCAGGAGTTTGGGATTGGGGGTGGGCTTCTCTCTGGGTCCCAGGATGCCTCTGACTTGGGCTGACCATTGGGCTTGGGATCTTTGGGAATACTATTCTGGGCATACTGGGGTGGGGGCGGGGCTTAGGGAGGCATGAACAGGAAGCATTGAACATGGATTGCTCTTTCTGGGAGTTTGACAGGAGGGAAAAAAGAGGAAGATAGCTTGAAGGGATGACAGGGTTAAGGATGGTACACCGGATAGGATGTTGGGTTTGGAGTTGGAGGTCCTGAGTATGAATCCTGTCCCTGCTACTTATTGCTTGTGTGATGTCAGGCATAGTAGGTCATTCCGCTGGCTTTGGTTTCCTCATCTGTAAAATAGTGGCTTGGGAATAGATGACCGCTAAGGTCCCTAAGTCTATCATCCCATGACCCTCCAAAGCCAGTGTCTTGCCCCACTCTTTCTACTGCTGCCTCATTCTCTAGGCCTGCTTGTATCACCTTCTGTCTATGGGCCTGAGACAAAACTGTAGTATCAGAAAATCCTCGGGTGACCCCCCTCTTCCCCCTTTGTCACCCATGCCTCCAGCACCGTTCCGACCGACCTCTCATCTAGTGATTCTCAGTCACTAGTTTAGGCTGAAACAAGAAGTATGGGAGGTCTCATGATATGATGGCAATTACAACAAGCTCTGTCGGGGAGTAGGAGAACGAGGGGTCCAACTCTGAGCCCTTGGGGGTCCCTTCTACGATCTGGTCCTCTTCAGCACCTTTATTGTGTCGCCAGCTTACCCAGAGTGAACCGGCCGTGGATAGGACTGCCCTTGGCCACGGATATGTGGAGGTCTCCCCGGTGAGCTGGGAGCCCAGCTGTTTGGGGTCTCCAGCCTATGCCCAGGCCCATTCCACTGGTCTGTCACTGTGCTGCCTCACTGAGCAAACATGTTGTCTACTCCATCTCCCCCGCCCCTTCCCCCAATCTCTCTGATCTTTCCTGCCATGCTGCTCTGCCCTGACTCTCAGATACTCACCACTCTCTTCATTCCAGGCCTGCCATCTTGAGGTTTTGAGGAGGAGGGGGTCTGAGGAGAGCAGAGTAGCTTTGCTCACAAGAAAATAGTTGAGTATATAATATGTCCACAGGGAATATGAAAGTCACAGCATGGAAAAATTGCCCATGTGGCTGATTTTTGTGGAGTATTTTATATGACCCTGATAGGACCCCTGTGAGAAAGGTAGCGTGGGCATCATCATCCACATTTTACAGGTGACAAAACTGAGGCCCCAAGAGGGTCAATGACTTGTCCAAGGTCACAGCCAGGAAGGAGTAGAGCCAGGATTAGAAGCCAGGTTGGGTAATTCCCAGTCTAGCAGCTGAAGGGGTATGAGGGAGGGTGGCAGTGTAGATTCTTGTGTTGACTGGTATGTAATTGGGAACGACAGTTTAGGGTCCCAGAATCATTCTGGCTGTCATTGATTGGCCAACAGTAGGTCCCAGGCCAAGCCCTACTTAGTCATAGTTTGGGTCCTGATTGGCTCAGAGTTTGTTTCTGTTTTGGCCAGAAACCCTCAGGGTCTTCCCCTCCCAGATTATCTATTTATTTATTTATTTTTAACTAGGTCAAGAGGCCATTCTCTGTCTCATTTCTTACCTATCCTTAATTAGTGAATGGACATTGCCTCTGTCACTAAGACCTGGCTCCAACCTTAGCTTAAAAGGGACAAGGTCTCCCACTGCATCCTGGGCCATCTCCAGTTGTCCAGGTCTGGCCACTGGACCCAGATGGCTCAACAGGAAAAAGTGAGGCTGATGACTTTGCACAGCCCCACCTCACTCAAATCCAATTCACTTGCATGTCACGGCATCACCTGATCATCTGATGTCACGGTCCTCTTTGGGAATGAAGGACAAACAACAACGACCAGAATGGGAGCCTTTTCTGAGTTTCGCCATGCCCACCTTCTACTTCACCATGTTTATTAGCCCATTGGTTGGCTTATAATCTTTGTCAGCCAATCAGGAGTAATGTCTCATGTTTATAGAACATTTACTGTGTTGAGGCAGGTAGTTCTGGTGTTATTTTCCCCATTTTGCAGATGAGGAAACTGAGGCCCACAGTCATTGCTAGTGGCAGAGCTAGGATTCCAACTCATGTTCACTGACACTCAGTCCAGTGACCTTTCCACTATCCCAACCCTCCTCTGACTTTGTCTCTGTCTGTTTCTGTCTCCCCTGGTCCCCTGCCCCCTGCCCATAACTGGCTGGTCCCTAAAACTCCTCCTACAGTACACTATGTGACCCTGAAACCACCTCAAGGACTCACAGGATACACACCCTATAGAGGTCAACACTATTTTCAACCCTAAGAGTTCACAATGAGACTCTATTTATTCACACCTCCTTCCCCCCCTACTTTGTTTGTCGTTCTCTCTCCCCTGAGCAGATGAAGGGCAAGAAATAGCCTGACCTAGGAGGATGGACGGTGCATGTGGGGAGGCACGTCAGAACCGATCCTGAGCTCCTCCAGCTGTGGATGCCTGCTCCGCCTCTCACACCACAGGAAGCTGGAGGTGGGACCCAGAACCGTCCTCTACCTGTGAGCCTCTGGCCTTACACGTTGTGAACCCGCCACCCTGCTGCCTCGTTTATCCAGTGGGTACAATACACAGTCAACCCTGCTGGTGGACATGATAAACAGACCATCTCACTACCTTATTTCTCCAGTAGAAATGATACGTAGACCTCCCCGCTGCCTTATTTCTCTGGTGGACATGATAATAATAGCGCCTATTCCTATAACTGCTTTAAAGTTTACAAAGTACTTTCCTCCCAACAAGCCTGGGAGGTTGTGCAAATGTCATCCCCATTTTAGAGAGGAGGAGACTGAGGCTCTGAGCTGTCCTCCTGCGCACTCACGTCCAGGGTCACCGCTTGACTGCATTGTTTCTCCAAGGGGTCCAATACACTGACTACCTTCTGCCTTGATTTTTACCTCACCCGCCCTCCAGATGTGGACAGTGCTCTGGGAGCTTTTTTCTACCCATAGAGGGGTCTTCACTGTTGCCCTAAGACATGTACGCACATGCCACCTGAATGCACATAGCACCCATACACAATCATCTGATCATGTGTGTGCATGTGCATGCAACATGCAAATACAACATACTAAATGTGCACACACTGTGTGTGCACACATATAACACAACACAGCCCCCCTCACTCATTCGCACCTACATTTGTGCGTCCATGGGAAGCATGCACATATAGAGTACATGTGTATACGTGTGTTTTTGGAGGCTAAGGAAATGAGCACACACCACACATGCACACCATACGTGCTTATCCACATAGAAGCCACCCCCAGAGCCCTCATGCAATTAGAGCTCCCTTCTGGATCTCTTCTGTCCATTCTCACGGTCTTCCCCATCTAGGGAGCCGCGTGCTGGTCATGCTGTTTCTCTAGGAGCACTGGGGCAAGGCAGGGCAGTAACCCTTGGAGCGGGTACAGCCTGAATGTTGGGGTGAGGAGTGCCCAGGAGACGAATCAGTACCTCTACCCTGAAAGTTTGGAATAACTGTTTCCCTTCCCAGGAGGGCAACCTTGGGACTCTGCTACTTCCGCCTTGAGCAATCCTGTATACCCCACAACTTTGGGACCCGATGCCCTGACATTTTCCTAGACTCTATACTCATCCTCTCTACCTGCCCCCACCCTTGCCCTGTTCCCTCCAGGGTGGACACACCCCACACATTGGGGGCCACTTTTAGGGATGATGGTATGGGTGGGGTATGGTGCCAACCCAGTCTCTCCCCAGGGCCTTGGGGAACCTACCTGTCAGGATCCAAGCCCTCTTCCTAAGATGGCAATGCCAATTTTGGGCAGCAGGTGTCAGCCATGGACCCCGCATAGGCCTTGAGCAGTTAACTAAAAGCCACGCCTCTGGTACAGATCTCAGGCAGTGACGTCAGCTGTGGCTGATTCCATCTTTCCTGGGAGCTGAAGGTCAGTGCCTTATGCCCCTCGCCAACCAGAGGAGCCCAGGAAAGTAAATCTCAGAGAACCAAACCCTTGCAGCTCAGGCATCTAGAGAGAGTGTGGCGGGTCTGACTCTTTTCTTTGTTTGCCTTAAATACAATGGGGTAGAGTGGGGGTGGACGTTACCTCCAATGGTGCTGGGGCAGGGGGCCGGGGGGGAGGGGGGGGATGGGGCATGGGGCATGGGGGTGGTTGCTTCCTGGAGAAACAGCCATGAATAGGAGGCACAGCTCTTCAGCCTCGGCTTCCCAGTTCTCTTTCCTCCAGGGTTTTCCCTTCTCCTGTCCATGGGAGGCTGGAGGCAATGGTCTGGTCTTTTCTCCAGCTGGGCAGGATGAACCTCTGCTTAGGCCTACCCCAGACTGGGGGAGGCAGGGGTTTTTCTAATTTAAATGCTGGAATCTGGGACATTTTGTACCTTGGTCATGTGTTTTAGGAAAAATAAATGCTTTGTGTTTTGTTGAAAGACTCTGTCTAATGTGTGGTTGGGGCAGGGTTTGGCAGGGGGCAGCCAGGCTTCTACCAGAAGTTCTTAACCTTTTGTATGCTGTAGACCCCTGTGGTGGTCTGGGGAGACCTATGGACCCCGTCTCAGAATCATGTTTTTGAATAATTGAAGGAGACCCTGGATTTCAGCTAGAGTAAAAATACACATGAATTTTTTTCCCTGGACCTCCTGAAATCTGTCCATGGTCTATAGGTCAAGAATACTAAGACTTTGCCCTGGGAGTCAGGCCATCAGAATCCTATTCCTAACCACAGGTAAAGAGTGCAGGCTCAGACATGAAAGTAATGATGGTGATGGTTGTGTGGAGAAAATTCACTCCAGAGCTTTGAACTTCAAAGATATCCTTAATTATGAACTGTTTGCAGGCAACCTTGATCCAATCTAATCCAATTAATAAGAGCATGCTCTGCACAAGGCACTGGGGATGCAAAGACAAAATAAAAACCAGTTCCTTCCCTCAAGGGAGTTCGTTTGATTGGGTGTTACAATATAGACACAGTAAGTACAGACACGGTTCTTTAAATGAGAGGGGGGCAGCAGCGATGATGAGAGAGAGCAGGGAAGGCTTCTTGGAGGAGGCATCAGGGCTGACCTTTGAAGGGAGCGCAGGATTCCAAGAGGTCAGAAGTGAGAAGTTAGAGTGTTTTGGGCAGGAGAATTGTGAAGATGCCAAGGTGAGATGGAACGCTGATTTTAGGGAACCTCGAGGAGGCCAATTTGGCTGGAGCACCAAGTACAAGGAAAGGAGTTGTGGAAATAAGCCTGGAAAGGTAGACTAGATGCCAGAAGTCAGACTGACCATGGCTTTAAGTGCCTCGAGGAGGCCTTTGTAGCTTTGCCGAAAGAGAATGGGACACCATTGAAGATTCTTGAGAGTAGGAATATGTGGTAAGATTTGAGCTTTAGGAAGATAAGTTTGGCAGTTATTTGGAGGGCAGAATGGAGAGGGGAGATACTGAAAGCCCGGAGTTCAATGAATGGATTTACAGTTGTCCAATATATATATATTGACACTTTATCTTCCAGCTCCTTATGTTTTCATTGCCTGCCCTCCTCCCCATAATCCCACCCCCAAACCTGAATTCTCTCTCTCCCCATCTCTCTCTCTTGCCTGACCCAGCTTCCTTCCAGTCCCAGCTAAAATCTTACCTTCCAAAAGGAACTTTTCCAATCCCCCATATTGCTTGTTCCTTTTCTCTATTAATAATTTCCAATTTATCTGGTATGTATCTTGTTTGCACATAATTGTTTCCATATGATCTGTCTCTCCCTTATTGAATGGTGAGCTCCTTAGATAAAGGACTGTCTTTTTCTTTTCTTTGTAGCCCCAGTGCTTTGCACAATGCCTGGCACATAGTGGGGGTCTAATAAATGTGCGTTGACAGGCCGGGTGAGAAGAGATGAAGGCCTGAAGTGGAGTAGTGGCCATGAGGGACAAACTCAAGAGAAGAAGTAGGCAGCTGATTAGATAAGAGGGTGAAGGAAGAAGGAAGACTCAAGGATGATTTCAATGTTGTGATTCTGAGTGACTGGAAGGGCCATAGAGAGGATGAAGAGTGGGGTGGAAGAGAGATAATGAGTTCCAACCTTCCATCGATGTCAATCTCTTTCTTGTGAGGCTTCTTCCCAGTGGAATGCAAGGGCTGAGAATCAGGGGAACAGGGTTCAAGGGCCAGTTCAACAATGAGACCTTGGACAAGTCAACTCGCTGGCCTCAGTTCTGAATTTTGTATTTATTTATATGTATGCATATTGTTTCCTCCAATAGATTGTAAGGTCCTTTGAAGACAAGGACTGTTTCACTTTCATCTTTATCCCCAGTGCCAAGCGTAGTGCCTGGCAAATAAAAGGTGCTTAATAAATGCTTGCTAAATAAATCAAGAGAAGTAGGAGTAGAAGTGATACTGTGGTGGGAAGTATATTACAGAACGCCTCATAAGAAGGAAGAAATGGGTAATATATTCTGGAAGTGGGTGACAGAGCTGGTGCAAAGGCAGGGGAGAGTGTTGGTGGAAGACCTCAAACATCCAGACAGCTGCTGGGGTTCTCTCCCTGCTATAAAACAGCAACTGGGAAATTCTTGACTTTCTTTCCAGAGTCTGATGTGTATCCTAGACTTGGGGAGAGTGGATTTCAGAATTTGGAGAAAGGAAAGGTAGGATCCCAGGACCTGAGGCTCTATAGGTAAGCCAGCTCAAGAGGGACAGAGAGGAAGGTCTCAAGAATGAAATTCTGGTGGCATAAGCACAAATCATTCCGACAAGACAGAAAATGGGGAAATGATTGAGAGACCAATGTAACTGTACCCTGTGAGGCAGGTAATGCAACTATTATTATCACTCTTTTATGGAGGAAGAAACTCAAATGATTAATAAAGAGTCCTACCAAGGGACAAGATGGAAAGAATGTGCCAGGCTATCTTTTTATTTTATTTTATTTTTTTAATTTTTAGGCAATTGGGGTTAAGTGACTTGCCCAGGATCACACAGCTAGTAAGTGTCAAGTGTTTGGTCTGAGAATGGATTTGAATTCAGGTACTCCTGACTTCAGAGCCGGTGCTCTATCCACTGCACCACCTAGCTGCCCCCTCCCAGGCTGTCTTTAATGAGTTCAAGTCATCAGGCTCAGATTTGTTAAGTGACTGGCCCATGGTTGCACAGTGAATTGTTGGAGCTTGGGTTCAAATCCACTTCTCACTCAAGAGCCAATATGATTTCCATCATGCCATGTCACATTGATAAGAGACAGCCACAAGGGCAGGGAACTAAGGATCACGACAGCAGACTGGCATGGCACCAGAAAAGCTGAAGCCCCCAGTGAACTTTGGTTCACGCTGAATGGAGAGAACAATACAAGGGCTTTTGAAGAGCTAGGTTGGGGGTAAGAGGAAGATCAAAGAAGGGGTGGGGCCATTGATCAGGGTGGACAGAGGGAAGATGGAGCTACTTTCTTCTTCATTTGTTTAGTTTTGCTGCCAAGGAGCGTGGACCTCCAGTTTGGGAAAGAGACCAAAGGTAGTTAGGGCCAGGGAGGGGGTGGTAAGACGCGCTTTGCTGCCCTCAATGAGTTAAAAGGCAGGCAAAGCTGGATGGAGCACAGCCAAGGGGATTCAGAGAACTTGTGTATGCGGTTGCTGACTCCATGATTGGCAAGACTAGAAATGGCAAATACAACTGATTTCTAGAGAGGAGGAGAAGGTGGGATATTCAGCAGTTGTGTGTATTGGGCAAGGTACCCAGCAGAACTGTGGGTGGTTGGGGTGCCCAGCAGTCATGTGTCTGTGATGGGTATAGGAGGAGTAACTGGCATTCCTATAGTGCTTGACGGTGAAGGATAGATAGCAGGTGGACGTGTTTCATGGGGTGCTCAGCTGCACGGGGGGAGGGGTATACCTAGTGGTTGGGCATGTATGCTTGGTGAGGGTACAAAGAAATTGTATGTGTGTTAGAAGTATCCAGAAGTTCTGTATTCAAGTCGAGGTACACAGCAGTGTATGTGTGTGGGTGGCACACATCACTTGTGTATATGTATGGGAATACATAGAAGTTGGGTATGTATAGGGGTTGCACAGTAGGTTCATATATGTGTGGGGGTACAAAGAGATTGTATATGGAAGTTTACACAGCAGTCATATGCCTGAATATATGCATAGGGATAAATAGTTATATATATACATGTATATGTGTGTGTGTGTGTGTGTGTGTGTGTGTGTGTACATAGAAGTTAAGGGGCACCTGGGGCAGCTAGGTGATGCAGTAGATAGTGCTACGCCTGGAGTCAAGAAGGCCTGAGTTCAAATGTGGCCTCACATAACTTCCTAGCTGTGTGACCCTGGTCAAATTATTTAACCCTGTTTGCCTCAGTTTCCTCATCAGTAAAATGAACTGGAGAAGGAAATGTCAAACCATTCCAGTATCTTTGCGAAGAAAACCCCAAATGGGGTCATGAAGAGTCCAACACAACTGAAAAATGACTAAGCAACAACATGGCGGTCATGTATTGTATAGAAGGCCCATAGAAGCTGTATGTTTATATGTTAGGGAGTATGCAGTAGAAATTTTATGATATACAGGAGTTGAGTGTGTCTCCTCTTTCTGTGTGAGTGTGTGTGTGTTTGTGTGTGTTTGTGTGTGATACATAGTGGAGTGTATTGGGGAACACAGCAGCTATATATATTTGTGTTTAGAATATGCAGTAATTGTATGTTCATAGGTATTTAGAGTATTCATTGGGTATGTTGTGTTGGAGGTACATAGCAATTGCATGTGTCTATTTGTGTATGCAGCAGTGGTATCTGTTGGGGTACCCAATAATTATACATGTATGTATTGGGAATATGTAAGCAGTTGTGTGTGTGTGTGTATGTGTATGTGTTTGCATGGTATATGGTAATTGTTTATAGGTATTGGGAAGTATAGAGCAGTTGTATGTACATATGGTAGCAGTTGTATATGTATGTGTGTGTGTGTGTGTGTGAGCTGGTGTGTGCTGGGGGTTGCACAGTCTTTTAGAAGCTGGCCCCCAAGATGGAGTAGCCATCAGAAGCGGGATCACCAGGAAATCATTATGTTTAGGTATCCTTCCTGGGCAAGATTCCAGCTCGTGCATTTTAATAGACAAATATTTCTCAGAGT